TCCCCAAATCTGCCTGTGCATCACAGTCAATTAGTGGGATATTTAACATTAAAGACTCTCAGCTCCCCCTTCACCTTGGACCTATTGAATTAGAGTATTTGGTATTGGGGGGGGGCAAGATATTTCAGCTGTTTAGATATATTTGGTAACTGAAACTTAGAACCAGGAATAACACAAACATTAGTATTCACAATCATAGTGAAAAATTCAAGTTAGAGAGCACAGGGGTCAGAGGTGGGCAGAAAGTGGAGCCAGAGTTGAGTGCTAGGAGTTTGCAAAGCCTGTCCACTCATCACCTACTGTGTGCTCCACATCACCCCCTGCATGTCTCTGTAAAGTTTTTTGCAGTGGTGAAAAGAAAAGAGACAGAGAGAGAGTGGGGCCAAACAACGTGGCTTTATTGAGTGCTTCTGGGTGAGGTTCGTGGGTCCCAGGAGAGGGGGGGCCCAAGAAGTCGCATCTATTTGGATGGGGTTAGGGCTTTAATACTGTTTGAGGCAGACCAGGGACTTTTGGTGGGAAGAGCTGGGGATTTTTCACTGTGACCTTCAGTGGTTATTGAGAAATAGGAGGAGCTGGTGATATTTGTGGAATCTAGGAACCAAAACTGTCTTATCTGGGTGGACATCTAGGTGTGGTTGTTTTCAGCAGGGCCTGGCAGCAGTCTTTGGCAGGTCTGGTCTTGTGAGCCTTTTCTTTTTGATCTAGGGAGGGGAGGGAGGCCAGCCACCAGCCTTACAGTTTCTATTATGGTTTTTACCACATGGTGTTGAAATTATGTCTTGAGCTTATGTTTCTTATTCAATTGTAAGATTCATAAAAGCAGACTTAGTTGCAAGAATTCATCCTTATATCCCCACCACGTGTTCATGGCAAGAATATAAAAATGTTAAAATGAATTGTTGAAATGCAAGTCAAGAGAGACTGAATTATTAGTAGAACTCTTTGCACATAACCAACTTGAACTAGTTAAAAGCAAGAAAAGGGAAGTCAGAATAAAGCTACAGGTATCTCAGAAACTCAACCCTGGGCCTCAGGTAGGAACTAGACCAAGAATGAAAAGGCCATCAAGACTTCCATCTGTTTCTCTTTGCACATCAGCTTCAATAATTTCTTTCTTAAGGTCAGATCTGCTCCTTTGGTCTTGAAGGTTTATGTTTTGCAGTTCCAAACTCCTACTGAGAGTAATTCATTGTTCATTCTAATTCTAAATTCCTTGGATAGAGAATCTGGCTCAGCATGAGTCCCATGTCCAAACTAGATTCAGTTGGCCATAGCCAGGGAACAGGCACAAGGAAGAAAACAAGGCTGCTAGAGACCCACCCCTGTGGGTTGGGGAGAATGGGGATATTCATTTCCCAGATAAAGGACATAGAAACTTCTAACATTATCTGTTGCAGAGGCAGAGACACACAGACTGTCTCAAACAGGAAGTGTCTTACACACTTTCCCCTGAAATTGGTCTTGCAGGGTATGACCAGTAGGCTCAGTTCGTCTGCAATAGACTTGGCAGAGTGGGAATTCCAGGTGCATCATTTATTAACTGTGTGACTATGGGCATGTTCCTTAACCTCTCTGTGCCTCATTTTTTACATCTGTTAAGAGGGGCTAATAATAATTTCCAACCCACATACATAATAAGATTACTGTAACAAAGTAAGAAAAATAATGCATATAAAGCACCTAGTACAGTGCTTAGCACTTGGTGCTAAAAGCAAATCAAATATTGTTGTTATCATCTTTGTAATAATATTACTCTCCATCTGACAGATCCTGATGTTTTCCTTTATGGAGTTTATCTCTTTTCATGATATAAACTTTATGACTTCCAAATACCTCAATATTTAACTCCCTTTTAAGACTTCAGTTTTTTAACTCCAGTTGAATGTTGGACTTTAAATAGAATGTCACTTCAGATTCAAATGGACCAAAAACAAAGTCATTTTCATTTTCTTATAACCACTTTACAAATTCTTCCACCCACTAATGTTCTTGTTTTAATAGCATCAATCTTTTCTTAAACCTAGGTAGGAGACTAGGAGTAATTGAGAATTACAACTTCCAGAAGATCTAGAGTCACTTGATTTGAGGCCATCATTCACTTCTTTCACACCTTTAGTCTTACCATTCATCAAGTTCTATTTATCTTTATCAATCTAACAATAACTAACAATAACTAACAATAAACACTTATTGGGGGCTTACTAAGTGCCAGACACTGTTCTAAGCGCTTTTACAGATGTTAATTAATTTAACCTTCATAAAAACTTTATAGGATAGGCACTAGTATTATCCCTATTTACAAATATGGAAACCGAGACTTCAGAAGTGAAATGACCTGTCTGGAGTCTCCCTGCCAGTAAACAGCAGAGAATAAGTAGTCTGACTACACAGCTCTTATTCCTAACCCCTAAGCCACACCTCGCTCTGTGATGAACCTCGAATCCCTCTTTCCATCAGTTCCGCCACCACTTGGGCAGTGAATCACAATGCTTCATGCCTCTATTATTGCATTAGATTCCAAGTTAGTCTGCTTGACTTTGCTCATTGTAATACAGCATACTTCTGCTAGATTACACTTCCTTAAACACTGCTTCTACCATGTCATTGCTTTGTTCAAAATCCTTCTATGGCTCCTGGTGGCCCATGATGTATGAAATATATTCCTTCCTGGTTTTTTAGACTTTATGCAATTTTGTCCCACACTATCTATTCAGCTTTATTTTTTCCTCCTTCTATCCCATTATCCATCATTCCAGTCAGACTGATTTTTTTCCACTACCCCCACAAACATACTACTTATTCCTGCCTCTGTGACTTTCTTCATCTCTACAGATCTAAATTTTACCTGCCCATCAGAAAATATTGTGGCTTCGTGAGCACTTCCTTTCTAATCTCTGCAATATGAACCTTTCCTTTCCTAAGACTCTCATAACACTATCTTTGTCCCCTCTTATGATATCATAGTCTGCCTTAAATTGTGGCTATGTGTTTACTTTCCTTATTTCTCTCCCTGTTCACCAGTTTATTAGCTTGTTGAAGACAAAGGGTGTGCTTCGCTAATCCTTGGATTCCCTGCAGTGCCTCTTTCAATGCAGATCTATTAATATTTATTGATCGCCTGTTGTGGATATAACAGAATTTTAGTTTCATCCACCCAGAATGTTTCTCCTTTCCCATGTAATTCTCAATCAGTCACTCCTAGTTTCTTACCTGGGTTTAAGGAAAGGTTGATGCTATTAAAATAGAAACATTAGTGAGTGGAATAATTTATAAAGTGATTATCAGAAAATGAACATGAGTTTGTGTTTGGTCCATTTTGTTCCAGTATTTCACAGAAATCTCACTTCTTGAATGAAACTCTCTTGACTGCTCTAGTGTTTGGTGAAACCTACTTTCTCAGAACTCTTGTAACACTTAAGGGTGATACCACATGTCTTAGTCTGTTTCTGCTGTTATAACAAACTATTTTAGGGTGGGTAATTTATAAACAACAGAAAATTATTACTCACTGTTTTTGAAGCTGGGAAGATCCAAGGTCAAGCTGCCAGCAGATTCAGTGTCTGGTGAGGGCTGCTTTCTGCTTCCAAGATGGTACTTTCTTGCTGTGTCTTCACATGACAGAAGGGGGGAAAAGGGGAGGAACACTGTGTCCTCACAAGCAGAAGAGATGGAGAAAGATCAGGCAGCTCTCTGAAGCCTCTTTTATGATGGCATGAACCCCATTCACGATGGAGGACCCCTCAAAACTTAATCACTTTCCAAAAGACCCCAGTTCTTAGTACTATCAAATTAAAGATGAAGTTTTAATGTGAATTTTGGATGAATATTCAAACCATAGCTCCACGTAATTTAGTATTTTATTGTTTTATTTGGCATATTCTTTGTTCAAGTGTTGCTACACAGGGCCTGGTATATAAAGATTCTCAAGAGATATTTGTTGAACGAATCACTGTGTCAGTCTTGCTCACCAATTGTAAGGTCTTTAAGATAGGAACCATGCCCTTTACATCTTTTGTATCCTCTCGGAGCTCTCAGCATATAATAGATGCTTTATGAATATTCACTGGCTGACTGGCTGTTGGATTTTCGTTGCAAATCTGTCCTTCCTTTACTGTTGTTCTGTCCTTAACCTGTGATTGCACTGAAGAGGCCTCTGGGTTCTTTAGTCTAATATCCGCATTGAGTACAGGCAGGGTCAGGCTGCTGAGACAGAGGTCTTTTTGCCGATCCCTTTTAAAATTCTGTCCTTAAATCAGGACCAGGCCTTCTTACAGGGAAAAATCCCTAGAGGAAGGGGTGGGAGTGCTTAGGTTGTTGGGGAAGAGTCAGGAGGTTAGAGATTGCAAAATGCAGACCTTTGCCCAGGACTTGTTACTGGGTCCGCCCACACAGTACGTGTGGGGAGAAAGAAGCCATTCCATGTGTATCTTAGACTGGTCAAAGACAAGGGTAATATATCATGATCATGATGCAACAATTAATGACTAGGACATCTTTCCAGATGGCATGAAGTCTGCTAATGGATCTTTAAAAATCAATACAAAATAACATTTATATAATATAATAATAATCTTTATGTACTGTACAGCCACCATGGTGGAAACCATCAGTGCCTAGTATTTGAACATCTTCAAGGAAAGACTGATCTCCCGAGAGGAAGGGGAGAGCTGAGATAAGCGGGTGCCTTGCATTATACAGTGCGCCTCAGAGGTCCTCAGCAACACTTGGTGATGGTGGATAGTAAAATGGTTTTGCAGATCAGAAGGGCTTCAAGTTTTGCTGCCCGGGATGCGATCTGCAATGCAGGTGCTCAGTACAGTGGGGTGAAACGTGCACAGGACATGTGGAATGTGGTCCTTAACTACTCTCCCCAGTCTTGTACTACACTGAGCAGTGGTTAAGCCAAGAAGAAGATTTTTCTTTATTAATATTTTATATTTATTTATTTGCCATTCTACTTGCTTATATGCTTAAAAAGGTCTTTGTTTTAAATGCAGGTCAAGCAAGGCCACATGACCCGGATTTCAAGGGCCCCGTTGTCAACAGGTAAGCAATTCTTTTATTGGGAAATTTCTTTTTTAACGGACAAAAAAAATTAACAGGAATCTTATTTCTTCGGCACCATTTCCCAGTCAATGAAGAATTGTATCTGCTGTGAGAAGGCAATGACTTATTTCTGCCTAAATGTCACTGATTTACAAGGGGAGAGTACAGAGAATAAATGTTTCCATGAGTCATGAATATCTTCTCCTTGTCAGCAAATGAACTGCCTTAAGTTGTTAGACTAAGAGTTTGTATTTCTCTAAAGGAGAAGCCAAAAAAAAATGCTTTATGAGATGTAACCACTTTGTAGAGAAGCAAACATATTCAAGCAGTTGTTTTATGTACCTGTTTACTCTGTGACTTACCATTGCAACTTCTAGGTTGCTATGCCAACTTCTTCCACGCCAGGTATTTGTGCCACTCAGATTCCAAAAGCACTTTCTTAGAGGTAGTCATTCGCCAGTGCATCATGTGCACTTTAGGATACTTTAAAAATGCCCTAGGGAAATATGCACTCATCTCAGCTGGTGCTTCCCTCCCACCTCCAAGGTTTTATGGCATTCTAAAATTAGCCAATAATTCACAGTCTTCCTATTATTTATTTTACCCTCTATTTCCAGGCTTCCTGTTAATCAGAAAGGGGGTTGGTGGGTAAAATGACTAAATACGAAGAGAAGATTATGCTGTTGGTAGCTGTTTTTCGCTTAACTTTGACTTTGATTTCTGGCATTTGTATGTCATAATAAACTGTGATGTGAAATAGCAATCAGCGTGCTCATTTGCACTTGCCAGCCATCAGTATGTATATTAGCATTTACTGTTACATCCCTGTAATATCCATGTCTTAGTCCATTTGTATAGCTATAAAGGAATACCCAAGGTTGTGTAATTTATACAGAAAAGAGGTTTATTTGGTTTATAATGGCTCTGCAGGCTGTACAAGAAGCATGGCACCAGCATCTGCTCGGCTCCTGGTGAGAGCCTCAGGCTACTTCTACTCACAGGAGAAGGAGAAGGGAAGCTGGTGGGCAATTCACATGGGAAGAGAAGCAGCAAGACAGAGGGGAGGGAGGTACTGGGCTCTTTTAAATAGCCAGCTGTATGAGGAACTCTTACAGGATCTAATACAGTGAGAACTCACTCATACTGCAAGGATGGCACCACGCCATTCAGGAGGGATCCACCCCTATGACCTAAACATCTCCCATTAGGCCCACCTCAAACATTGGAAATGAAATTTCAACACGAGGTTTGGATGGTCAAACATCCAAAGTATAGCAATCCCAGCTTTAAACATTTGTGTATTCTGTTTATTCTAATTTTGTACAAAGCCAAGTCACTTGCTCCAGGTTAGTCATTCAAAGGGACACTTAGAATAAAGGAGCCTTCTCTAGAAGAGTCTGAAATCTCTCTCATTCTCACCATGGTAACACTATGAATACATTTTGTTGTCTAGCATACAAACAGCTTCATTCAATGTGGTGGTTACTTTTACTGTAATTATATCCCGTTTACAATAACTAATTTGTGAGAATTGAGTGTATTGGCCTCAAGGGGCCTCTAGATATGATCCATATTTAATAGTAATAATAATTAAAATAAATAGGCTGCTACACTTGGACAGAGGAAATACAGGTTACAGGTATGGCTTTGATAGCCATAGAGAAGAGAGCAGAGTTAGGTGTAGGAAAGGAGGTTAGATCTCCCTGTCTTGGGTTATTTAGAATTTAATGATGGAAGCATGTAGTCTAGGTAAAGTCTAAACAACTGTGATAATCACTGTGAGGAAAGTAATGTATTTTTACCTGGGGCCTTTTGTGATGCCTCTGGTACCACAAAGACCTCTAAAGGTGAAATGGTCATTCTGTGGGCATACCACCCCCTACTTCAATCCAGGAACAGAGAAAAGTATTGAAAAACCACAGGGGCATAACTATAGGAAGAGACAGTAGACCCATTTGTAACTTTTTCAGGCAGCAGGGTTCTGTACTGCCCTTACTGAGAAAATAATTGGAGTGTTTAAGGAGCAAGTGAGAAACCCCCAATTCTTTGCATTGCCTCTAGCAGCAGGGCTGGCTTTAATACCACCTTGTGCTTGCATCCTGTTGCTCTCCTGAGAGATCCAAAGTCTTTTCAGATATTCAGGCAGAACCTTACAGCACTCTCTGCTTGTCAGTCCACCACGTTATGTTCACCTCTCTTAGTTCACAAGGGCAGCAGTTTATGCATAATCCCCACCCGAGTGTAGCTGTTTTGAGAAGAGGTGCAAGAATGAGGGCATATCTTCAGGAAAGGTTACCTCAGTGTCTCATCTGTTCCGTCTACTAAGAAATGGGGGTATAGGAGCTATTGCCACATAATATCGACCAAAAGAGGTGATTTTGATAGTTTAAGGCCCCCTTTTTATTTTTATTTTTTATTATTTTTACTTTTATTTTATTTTAGTGTATTATGGGGGTACAAGTGTTAAGGTTACATATATTGCCCATGCCCTCCTCCCCCCTCAAGTAAGAGCTTCAAGAGTGTCCATCCTCCAAACTTTGCACATCTTACTCATTGTGGTTGTAAATACCCATCCCTTCCTCCCTCCTCCCACCCTCCTGACACCCGATAAATGTTACTCCTATATGTCCACTTAGGTGTTGATCCGTTAATACCAATTTGCTGGTGAGTACATGTAGTGCTGGTTTTTCCATTCTTGAGATACTTCACTTAGTAGAATGGGTTCCAGCTCTATCCAGGAATATACAAGAGGTGCTATATCACCGTTGTTTCTTAAAGCTGAGTAGTATTACATGGTATACATATACCACATTTTATTAATCCACTCATGAATTGATGGGCACTTGGGTTGTTTCCACAACTTTGCAATTGTGAATTGCGCTGCTATAAACATTCGAGTGCAGGTGTCTTTTTCATAAAGTGACTTTTTATCTTTTGGGTAGATGCCCAGTAGTGGAATTGCTGGAACAAATGGTAGATCTACTTTTATCACTTTGAGGTATCTCCATATTGCTTTCCACAGAGGTTGAACTAGTTTGCAGTCCCACCAGCAGTGTAGGAGTGTACCTCTCTCTCCACATCCATGCCAGCATTTGTTGTTTGGGGACTTTTTGATAAAGGCCATTCTCACTGGAGTTAAGTGATATCTCATTGTGGTTTTGATTTGCATTTCCCTGATGATTAGAGATGTTGAACATTTTTTCATATGTTTGTTGGCCATTATTCTGTCTTCTTTTGAGAAGTTTCTGTTCATGTCCTTTGCCCATTTTTTGATAGGGTTGTTTGATTTTTTCTTGCTGATTTTCCTGAGTTCTAAATAGATTCTAGTTATCAGCCCTTTATGGGATGTGTAGCTTGTAAAAATTTTCTCCCATTCTGTGGGTTGTCTGTTTGCTCTCTTGACAGTTTCTTTGGCTGTGCAAAAGCTTTTTAATTTGATCAGGTCTCATTTGTTTATTTTTGTTGCTGTTGTGATTGCCTTTTGGGGTCTTCTTCATAAAGTCTTTGCCTAGGCCAATGTCTAAAAGAGTATTTCCAACATTTTCCTCTAGAATTCTAATAGTTTCACACCTAAGGTTCAAGTCTGTTACCCAGCATGAGTTGATTTTTATGAGAGGTGAAAGGTGTGGGTCTTGTTTCAGTCTTCTACATGTGAAGGCTCCCTTTTTAAAAGTATGTCTTCAGGCCCCGTGATTTGTCCCCTATATTCAATAGAATCAACAAAATGTTGGTTAGTGTTGGATTGCTGTAGTAAGCATGAAAGGGTATCCAGCACTATCCTTGGCAGTGCATTAGAAAATGGAAATGAATACATATAGAAAACAAAAAAATAAATAAAAGCTCTTTCATAAGATAATACATGAGAAATTATTCTTTTAATTTAAAACTAAGAAAAATTGTTATTTAATGAAGAATTGGTATACTTTCTTCTGTTAGATAAGAACTGTGTGATCCACTATATTTCCCTTTTTGTACTGACTTGGGGGAAGCCCACTGATAAGGCCACTTATCCTTGAAGATAAGAACATCCTATCTTTGTGTTATTACCAACTACATAATTCTTCTCACAGAGTAAGGAGCACTCTAAATATTTGTTTAAGGAATAAAGGAAGGAAAGCAAGAGTGGGAAGGAAGCAGTGTGAAGTAGAACCCATAGATAAACACAGGGATGACCTTCAGACAAGGCTGTGTAATGGCCATACCATTATCATATTTGAACCAGAACAGTGATAGTTTGGAACTCCATGGCTTTAAAGTCTTTATTTAAAGCTCTTGCTAAGATGATATCCAAATCTTACACCATTTTCAGATGCCATTGGTGTGATATGGAAGTTCAGATTTCTAAATAAGCTGGTCAGCTAACAGGAAAGTAATACCAGAGTTCTAGGAGCTATTTGTATTACTAGGGCTTATGGAATACACCTCAGACTGTTTTTCAATCTAGTTAGTTTTTATGAAGTCTCCACAGGGGGCATAACACTGCACATGGCGTGGATTCAACTATGCTGTGTCAAGGCAGGTCACAGATTTACAGGTCCCGGTGCAAAAAGTTCAGCTTATTTTGTTTAATCTCTTTCCTTTTATGTCAGGGCAAAATCATTAAAATTTGATAACTATCTGCCTGGCCTGTGATCCAAGTTTAGAAAAATAAAGTCCAAATTGCTACAATTTGCATCCTGTGATAAAGGCCACATATTATCATTTCAGGTTTTGGAAATGGAGTTTGTTTTGTTTTGTTTTACGTAGAAAAACTCTCCTGAGAAAAAGGATTCAATTTAAAAGAATCCTGACATTTCAAACATACCCATGGAAGAAATAACCATATTCTTAGCAAACAGAATGCTCCATCCAAGGAGGAGGTGCTCTAACCAGTGGTATGTTGAGAAGGGGAAAAAAAGCCAGCCCTCATAATTAATCACTCACACATATATTTAATGCACACCTCTGTCCTGTAAATGAAATTACAAACCAAATGACGAGACAGCACAAGCATACCAAAA